TGACTAGGAATCAGGATGGGCCGATGGTGGCATTGGACCTCTTTCTGTGTCGTTGATTCAGCTGAGCTCAGGAATGAAGTCATCGATCATATAAGTTTGCACGTGAATTCGGGTGGAGATGTGCGAAAACATAGAAGAATCTCCCTAAATTTCCTCAGAGTTTCATATCGGAATTTTCATATCATCGCCAACAAACGTACTTGACTACGCATATGCACATGACATATGACATATGACTACTAATGCATATTTTCTAACACTAGGATGCTGCTTATCGTTAATGTAGGTACAGCAAGGGGTACTTCAATGTCGTTCAAAACGTTGTTCTGCTCGGCGCTCCGATAGCCGTGACTTTCGACGCGCCTGCCGTAGGATCTGACCATAAAAAATCATGGCGCAGGTGAGAAACAATATTATTATTCGTTAGTGCGGAAGACTATTTTAGGGCGCGCGCTGTTGTAGCAGGAAGGTTCATCAACGGCTACACTAGCAGTGATTGGGTATTAGGATTCCTGTATCGGTATATGGAATGGGGAGTTAAAGTGGCGGGGCTGAGCGCTGCTCGGGGCATCTCTGGTGTGGAGAATATAGACCTGGGAAAGTTGGTCGAACGGCACGACCACTACCCTGAATATTTCACCGAGATCATGGCGAATCTGGACATTCTCGAGTGAGTGTTGGACACTTGTGTAGACTTGATGCTCGAAAGAAGTGTGCAGTAATAGTCGTATTTGATTATCATAGTGCGTGGAGTATCCGCGTACATTTTTGGAGAATTCGGTGACTTGTGTTTTATGAGGTCTCGGGTTCGATTCCCAATGAGGGTATTTTAGTGTTTGGCAATGGTTGGTTCGTCCTCTGCCCCTACGTCTCGGCCACCCCCCTTCAACGCTCCGGCGATTGAAGCCCCGCAAGCGGCCGTTCACAAGCTCTGTTGCGATATAATCACTGATCAGTTCGGACCCGCTGTATCGGCAGTTGCTAGCTGCCTCCTCTCACGAGGACCTATGAGGTAGGCGTACTGTGCTAAACACGGCTTGGTCAATGGCCTCGTCCGTGTGATGGAGTTGTACAAGTGAGAGAGATCATATGTAGATCAGGATTGATCTGATCATAAGTATAGAATTCCTGGGATTTGGGGATGGAGTGGTATGCTTAGGTTCCCGGAGTTGAGTAAATATGTCAACGAGGAACTGAGTTGGCCATTGGACTTGCGCACGGATGCGAAGGTTCCTCATTCAATGCATGAAATTACAAGTGAGAATTTGGTGTGGTGGGGAGTCTTCGGCACTGCCTTCCGAATGGTCCCTGGTTCAATTATAGCATGTTGCTTTTATCCACAGATAGAATGACTTGGTCGTGCATCCGTGACGCGCTGATGATTCTACTGCAGAACAATATAGCAGTGTCTCACATGGTCCGTCAAGTTCAAGTGCCAAGCCAAGAGAAAGCTGGGGCTCCACCGCAGCATTTGGTACGTATCCCATGCGGAAGGTCGTCGGTTCGATCCCTGGTTGCGGTATTTTAGGTCTTATATAGTGCATCGCCCAGTGCCGTCATAGCTCGTCTACGATACCCCAGATACATGAATCTCGTCCAACAACAGCTGGGTCGTCGCCGGCCAGTAGCTGTTCATGTCATGGCAGAGGTAGGATATTTTCGGGCGAGCGAGATTTGAACGGTGGGCAGGTGCTGAGAAGGGGTAGGGTTCCTTGGGATGATCTGATCGAATTCACAGCATTGCGATGGCGAGGTGAGTGTTGATGATGGGAGTCGGAGGTATCGCGGTTTCAGAGTATGTTGGGGAGCATGCCCCGCCGATGAGAGAAGTAAAAGCGGATGTGGAGGCAGCTTTGATAGAGCTCGTCACAAGCAGTGTAGGTTCATAAGTTCAGTGTGGTGAAATTTGCACATGTGTTGGTGACAATATTGAAACTCTGGGGAGAGTTTGTTAGTTTCTGTTTTCGTAAGTATTTTTCCAGTTGGCATATAAACTCATTTGATTGGTGATAAAACTATTGAGCTCAGCTGAGGGTATTTTACAGCACTGCACATGCTGAATTTTTACTAATAAAATCATGAGGAAGAGGCGATGTACAATAAAATTGTTCAAAGATCACTTTTCTTAGTATGAAGACGTACATGTGGTCGATGCAGGTGTTGTATAGAGTGGAGCCATGTGTGAGAGGTGATCTGCAACAGAAAATGGCAACCCCGCCGGGTACACCAGAAAGGAGCGACGGAGCGGAGTTTTCGGCATCGTCCCCGGAAGAGGAAAGTCCGATGATACCCGATATAGGTGGAGGTGCTGAGGAAGGTAGTCATGAATTGGCTCGTCGCAATAGCCACTGATTCCTTTCCCATAGCTTTGGCAGACACTCTTGCTTTATTTAGTATTAGTACTTACCATTTAGGATTTACTATTTTTTTGAGTATTGTATTGCTTTATTTTTGCTACTGCATATACAGGGTGCCCCGAATGGAATGTGCTATTGTCTGTCACTTGCATATTTCAACGGATTTCCCGGTGAGAGATAGTTCACTAGGAAGATCTTGGAGGGCACTTTTCAATGGTATATTCAAATCCCAGATATGCTCGTGATGCTCAATGCCATACCGCGGTGATTTATGAGGAGGAAGTTTATCGGCTCGAACTTTTTTGCATAGATTTTGAGCAGTTTTGCGTAGCTCGGCAGGGCCAAAGCATATTCGGAGTTCGAAAATAGTTCTGAGGAGCGCTCGCCGAGAGCTTTCTAATGAGCTATCTCTCACTGGAAAGAAGTTACAGACAATAACAGATTTTGTTTGCGGCTCTCGGAACAATAGTCGGATCGATCGTTCGAGTTGTGATTGTTGTTTATAGTAAAAGCTGTGCTCGTGTTCGTTGAGTGTAACGGTACTAAACTTTATTAACAGAGAGAGCAACAAGATACCAATGCCTTTAGTAACTAAAGGCATCAGTATCTTGTTGCTCTTTCTGGACCTCATTCGTATCTTTGGTGCATGGACCTCATGTTGTTAGATATTACAGCTGCGGATGACCTTTTAATGATGTCACCAGAATTAGCTCTTCTAGCGGGAGAACAACAACCTGGCGAGGCCGCCGCTACCGCACCAGCGAGGAGTAGGAGGAAGCCTACAGCGGCTAAGGTATAATAGTGGTGGTAGCAGTGGAAGACCGTCATTACAGTCGGGAATTAGTGTTATTTCCTGTCTCGGTCGAAAATTTGAAGGTAATTCTGCGTCTTTTTCAGGCTAAGGCGGGTACGCGTAAAAGAGGGGCGACCGGCGGTGTTGCTAAAGGCCGAGAGGCTCGACAACAGAGTGGTAGGAGCCGAAGGTTGATGAAGAAGATCGATGCAGTCCAGGTTGAGGGTGGCGGGGTAAGGAAGGTACAGTCTGGTGTTAATCTCGCTCGCCCGAAAATGATGATATTCCATGCAGTAGTGTAGATGGTGTGAGACTAGCGAGAATTATATGAGAGAAAACTCGATATTTAATAGTGTTATGGAAGCGTGAATGTCTCGATCAGTGTTGGAGGAATAAGTGATCGCTTTCGTCAGCTAAGCTCAGGAGTTTTCACATACGAATTCTGATGGAAATGTATAGAGATCCAATAATCCTTGGAATTTTCATACTGTCACCAACACATGTAGTTGATTATGTGCGTATTTTTCCACGCTGGTGTCGATAGTGGTTGTTGTTGTTGTCATCTGTGCTGTTGTTTTCGAATAGTATGTGTCGTTGAGTGGTAGATTTTCCAGGTCCTTCGGCCGAACCAAGTAGCTCTTGATATGATGCTGGTTAAACAGCTTGCAGTGGAGTATGTTGGGAAACGGATGAATCCAGCAGCGGGGAGGATATTTCAGGTGGAGGGGCCGGGGATCGAACCGGGGTCTTTGAACATGAGCTGTTGATCATTCAGGTGATGTTGGATGAATCTGTGAAGCCTCCAATGGGACTGATGGACAATATGAAGTTGATTGATTGCACTACGGGTCAGGCGGAGCGAAGCGATTCATCTTTCTTGATTTTTTGATCTTTTTTTCAGATACCTTTCAAGTTGACGATCTCCTAGATTGGATGACTCGTGGGCATGAGTCGCCTTCCTCATCCCCTTCATCGTCTCCTGCTTCTTCCGGCATTGGTAACCTCTTCCGTATCTTCCTCGCTTGAACCTAAGATATTCATGATAGGCTCATCGGCCTCGGCCACTATGAATCGACAACGTGATGAGTTAATCAAGTACCTCAACGTCTTCAGCAAGCATCAGGATGCTCTGGTCCTCTGCACTAACGCTGCCGCCGCTGCTGCTGCTACCGCGGTGAGAATTTCGTGGCGCGCGGTCATTGCCTCGATTTCTCTGGTTTTTAATCGTTTAATCGGAGTCGTTCGTCCTTAGCATTTCCGTTCGTACTTCATAGCAACTTCGAATTGAACCGAATAGCATTTTCATACTTCAGCTTGCGAGTGATCCATCTAATATAGAGGTGACCTTTGGAGTAGCTGTCGTAGTCCTTGCGAGTACTACTATTATCAACATCGCTATAGTTGTGATCCAGTTCTTGTCTATGATCATTATCTCAGAGTACTGGTGCGAAGCGGAAGACTTCTAAAAAAGCCGCCGCAACTGCAGCGGCTACTGCGATGGCAGCTAGTGGGCCGGCTAGCTACCGAGTTGATTGGAAGAACGTACTGGCGAAGCTTACTGAGGAGTTGACACATGCGATACTGACCGAGAAGTAAAGTTCATGGAGATGTGGTATGATGATGGTCGATTGGTTGCTTTTAGGTACGGTGTAGTGGGAGCTCGGGTTTATCAGTATTTACTAACGACGGGTTACAAGTCGGAAACTATTCGTGTAGCGGAGCGATGCATGATCGATCGAGAGGAGTGCCAGATGCTCCTACATCGACTGCATTCAGAGCACATCATTAAGATCTCTGAGGTTGGCGATGAGGTTAGCGTCACTGCGCCACGAAATTATTGGACTGCAGGTGCCGAAGAGTGTGATAGCCCCGTCGTTGAATCAGCAGGCAAGTATCATCTCGTTTTGGCTCTATTACCTGGACCCGCCGACCACGAAAATGGCGATGATGGAATTGGTCGCTCGAGCGGCGTTGAACATGAGAGTTCGATTCCGGCATGAAGTGGCGAGGGCGACGATGGAGGAACGGAACGATAATGAGGACGTTAGTAAGCAATCGGAAGATCTCTGGTTCGAATCTTGGTGAGCGTATTTTTTATTCTTTTTATGTCAGACCCCGAGGCTCGCGCTCGCAATGAGGCTCTTGCCGAGGCAGTTGATGCCCTTGATTGTGCTTCTATTCACGTTGATACCGGACTACTATTATACCAGCAATAGCCTTACCTACACTACCTCCAACGTTTCAAGATAACAACAGTGCTCTAGTGTGAAGTTGTTCAATTGTTCAGGGCGGCTGACGGAATATGAAGTGATATTATTTCTCTGAGTCGTTCGTTGTTGTGAATAGATGGGAAACTATAGTTTTCGTTTGTTATTGTTAGGAGAAAATAGTAAACTCAATTTTCATCCCAATATTGCTGGCGACTCTCAGTAAAACGCCAATTTGGAAAAAATAGTAATTTTCATTTAGAGTTGCTGATGAGTGTTTTTATGAAGTTTTGAGGTTGAAGTTTATGACGTTTACCACAGCACCAGTAGTCAAAGGAAGAGATAGTTCAAAACGTAGATAATTGTATTCAAATTAGAGTTTCCTAAACTCCTATTCGTCCGCCTTTCCAAAAGGAAGTTACCATTTTCCAAATGAACCTGGTGTAAAGTATCGCCCGTTCGACGACTACACGTGCTTTGCCAGGGCTCATCTGTTTAGTACTGTACAAGAGTAGGAACGAAGCTAGTGTTGGCGGCTCGTCGAGCTCACCTCGCAATGATGCTCAGTTATGTGTTCCTTGCCGGGATCGAACTCGGGATCTCAGCAATGATACGGTTTCGTCTCAGGAAACGGTTGGTGTAGCGAATGAGTGTGGCGTATCTCCTAACTCTCACGTGATGCGAGGTTTGGTATTGCTGTACGCATACACATCCTTAGGAGGTCTACTCTCGAGGGGACTATGAGTTTACTCGTTTATATGTGACCATCTGTCCTAAGGCGGGCATCACTTGCGTGTTTCGTTTGGGACGCAGGTCGTTCAGTCCAGCTCATCGGCAGGGGTTGGTTTTTTCCATGTTCTTCTACTGGGCTGTCCTTGCTGTGTCTTCCTTTGCAGACGATCGAGTGATAGTGTCGATATCATCGCTTACGTCTAGGAGGCTCATTGAGGGGCCGGTGCCGGTCGAAGGCCCTCCGCCTGATTGGGTTGACATTCGTGACGTTCCTGCCATTCTAGGGAGGGGGGATGGTGCTCGGCAGCTCTCATCGGACAAGTTAGAAAAGTGTTTGAGAGATGTGAAGGACATGTTGGCGATTGGCATGCAGTGGATCGACACTGCAGTGGCGGCGTGTGAATTGACTGTTGATGAGCTTTGCGATTCCCTGCTCGGACTGGGGGAAGATTATGAGGTTATTTGTGAGAGAAATGGAGAGTTGGGAATAGTGCAGTCGGTGGGATTCGAACCTGGGACCATGGGCGTGACGAATGAGGTGGTGTCCGATTCCGCTGATGATGAGCTAGTGGGAAGTCAGTGGAATTTAGATGAGATACATGTGGCTGAGGCATGGAAGATGACCCGACTGGAAGGGCGTCCACGGCGAGAGGTGGTTGTAGCTGTCGTTGATACTGGCGTTGAATACGACCACCCCGATCTGGTCGATAGCATTTTCTCTGATGCGGATTGCCGACATGGTTACAACTTTTTCGATTCAGATTTGGATCCTCGAGATGTGAATGGTCATGGCACGCACTGCGCTGGGATACTCGGTGCTACTACGAACAACGCGCAAGGGGTGGCTGGCATCGCCCCGGTGAAGATCATGTCCTTGCGAGCTTTCGACGAGATGGGAAAAGGAGATTTGCTTTATTCTCTACAAGCTGTGAATTATCTCGTTACTTTGCGTGTGGAGGTATCATCTCATTCGTATACGAGTGATGGTACATATCGCACTCTAGAGGCAGCTATGAAAAGAGCTTCTGATCGAGGGCATTTGATGTTCGCTGCGGCGGGCAACGACGGTCGAGATATTACTATTGCTCGGACCTACCCATGTGCTTACTCAGAGACTGTTGAGCTCCTCATGTGCGTTGGAGCTACTGATATATACGCTCGTGATCGGCTGGCACGTGAGAGTAACTATGGCAGGTATGTTGACATTGCTGCGCCTGGCGTGGGAATCCCGAGCACTTATATTGGTAACGTTTATGCTTACATGTCGGGTACGTCAATGGCAACTCCACATGTCGCAGGTGTCGCGGCTCTACTCAGCAGCTTGGGTGTTGGCCCATCTGATATCAAGGAGGTGCTCTTGGAGTCCTCCGACACTGTCTATTATCCTGGTGGGAATCGTGTTGGTAATTTTGGTAAAGTAAATGCAGCAAAAGCAGTAGAGTTGGCATTGACGAAACCCACGGTCAGGCCGAATGGTGAACGCTCTCGTCCAGGTCGGGAGTGTATTGAAATTCGGAGCGGAGCGAAGCAGCAGAGTTTTATTATGGTAGCGTTCCTATTACCTCTTATTGTTGCAAGTCACCTCTATTGATGCGTGTTTTTGTGGAAGTGATCCGAAAAAGTGTGAAGTTCAATGCAGATAATTTTGCTATTGAGTGTTTTTGAAAATTGAATATGTTCATGGTTTGCCGCTTATATGTGTGTTTAGTGAGTGCTCCAATCAAGAGATCTAAGGAAGAGTTGCCTCTGATAGTCTCTAGACGACCATCAGAGGGATGATGGAGGCCTCATTGTCCTTAGCATCACTGCGAGAAGTAAGGGAGGTCCTAGCGCCCCGAATAAACCGCTTTGGCTGTGTTCACTCACCTTGGGGAAATGTCTACAGAATATTAAATCTCGAGGAGTTCGTTGTCTGTGTTTGTCAGGAAATACTCCAGGGGTTTGTATGGACATTAATTGTAGTTTTTGAGGGTTTTTAATTGTTGATTCGTTCATGGCAACGACAAGTGATAGTGAGGGCGTGGTAGCTTACCGAGAGCCCATTCCCGACCATCTTGTGGTGATTCCTATGTTCTCCTTTGGGGCTAATATGAGTAAAGATTCCCTCCGGAGTAGAGGTGTGGAGACTGCATCAAAGGAGCCTTTACGAGCAGTAAGAGGAGTGTGTTTTTATATGTGTGGTTTCCTCAGCTGAGCTCAGGAGTTTCCTCACTAATTATAGAAGTTTATATACGAACCGGAAAATTTCGCGAAAATTCCTCAAAATTGTGATATTGTCACCGATACATGTAGTTGAGAATGTTCATATTTCACCACACTAGTGTTGTATTATAACGAGATCGCGCGTTTTTCATGATATGAGTATCCACCCATTTCTTGTATTCTCATTAATGTCGTTGATAGGAGTCGGCTGGCTATGATTATAATCAGAAATTTCGAGTAATGTATAGGGAATTTTGGTAAAAATGCGATTTTCCGAAGGAAGTGGGAAAATTGTCATGAAATGGCAAAGTATTAAATTTATTAGAAATGCTGTAGTGAAGCGTGTAAGGAGCTGATGTCATCCGCAGCTCGAAAACGCTGATGAACGCGATGATGTTTACTCCACGTAGTCGAGGGGCATTCTAATCAACGTTTTGAAACTTATTTTCTACATGACTCAAATCAAGGCTAAGTATAGATGGGCAGAATTATGTTACGGGCCGTTACGGCTGCTCACTTTTACGGTTACGCTTCAAGCCCCGTGCCGTAAAATTACGGCGCGTAACGGGTCTCACGGAGATACAGAGGACGAAACGAGGATTGATCATTCAAGTCGCCTAAATTTATTTCGTGTGAATGCGAATCCGTGGATGAGGCCGGCTTGGCAGTTTCGGGCCAGCCTGGGAGTGAGACGGACGGAATTTGCAAAGGAGACGAGTGGCAAATGCGAAACCAAACGTTACCCTCTCAGCGGTTCGGTTGAATCCGAGCCTCAAGAAATGAGTTTAACAACTATTCGAGCTGTCGTGGAGTGCAATACAGCGAACCTTTCCGCCACAATTCTAAAAAAACAGTTCAGCACCAACCGTAAAGTCGTTAGGCCTTTCCGTAACCGTAAACTGCTTACGTTACGCACGCCATAACGTAAACCGTAAAACAACTTTACGCTGCCCATCTATAAGGCTAAGTTTTGTTGTTTAGGTACTTGTCGATTTCGACTTGGTTTTCGATATGGAACCCAGGGAGATCTTTGTGAAGGAAGGCTACTATGCTAACGTTCGTCCTAGTCTTGGCGCGAAGGTCATCCTCTCAGTGTGCTTTGGATTAGATCCGACTCGTCTTTAGGTCCACGGTGTTGTCAATTACTTGTCGCGTAGTGGTTTGGAGCGCCTGGACAATTTTGAAAGCCCACATTATGAACGGCGTTGGGTGAAAGTACAGCTTTATGGAGGCGATGGTGAAGTGATGGAAGCGATGCTCTATATACAGCCTCAGAGGGAACAAGGGATAGAGGGTCTTCCTGGGAGGAGGTATTACCTGCCCATTAGAACAGCATTTAGATTCTCCATGACTCATAGTTTATTTGATGTGCGTCAGTCGACTTATGAACTGAAAGTCTGTGAAAAATACGGCCAAATTGGAAGCATCGACGTTGATCGCGCAACTCCGGGAAGAGACTCGTCTTGAAAAATTGCACTCTAGAGGATCTACGGTTAAGATTGAAAACGGGCTCCGAATATTTTTCCAGTACAGGAGACAACTTCCGACTCGTTTAAATTGAGGCTGAGTATTTTTAATCAACTTGAAATTGAAATTGGACATTTTTGATTGGAACTTTCTGAAGTTCATGTTGGAAAAGTCATGCGAAAAAATAGAAGTTATTCAACATGTGGTTTCAGTTGAGAGTCTACTACTTCAATTCGAGGTGAAAAGTGATTGATCAGTGAGGAGAAAATTTACAAAATTTTATGATTCCAAATTTATGTCGGTCTTGTGGGTTGAGCTATTATCAGCCAGGTACCTGAAGACGTTGATCGCTGGAGCGGTGAAGGCCGACTTGGACCAGTGTTGGATTGCACGACTACAGTCTTTGCCCTTCGTGGACTTCAGGAAATTCGACATCGATTCAGCAGAGAGGAGAGCATTGATTCATGGTCGAGTTTTTGAGAAGGAAGAGATTGTAGGAGTTGTTGCGGTCGGTCGTTGGTGGTTAGGATCGAATCTTAGGTTGACTCGCGTAAGATGCAGAATAGGCTGCTTGTGAGCCTGTTAGGGATAGTTTTGGCGACTCCGGAAAATCTCGATAAAATCGAGAAAATGATTTATAGCAGCGGGGATGATCTCAACGTAACCCTAGCTCGTTTTGTTTCCTACGAGCCGCCACCTGTGGACGGTCGGAATTTGAGTGCGGAGCATCGTGGCTTCATAGAAACGGTGATGGAATCGGCAACGACTGATACGCGTCGACTCGAGATCGTGGGTAGGCTGGCGGGAGAATTCGATTTCTATTGGAACAACAAGGGAAATCTCTAATGTGATGGGAAGATTAGATTTCATTTGATCTGTTCTGTTTCCCTCCGACATGTGTGGAGTGTCGCACCGTTGTTATTGTGTTGAGGCGGATGTCTTGATGGGTGAAGTGATACAGTTGCGGGATATTCATTGGAGGCGCTTCCTCGCGAAATGTCATTCGCACCTTTTCCGTGCAGGTTTGGCAAGTGAGCAGACAAGCAGTGTGTTTGACCTCGCGAATCGAAGTGTGTCACAATTCGATTTCGTTACAATTAAGGTTGACTTTGAGAATTCAAATATATCGCACAGTTTGGGAATATATGTTTGGTTTCCTCAACCGAGCTGGTAACCAACCACAGACTACTACCACCCCTTCAGCCACAACCGAGTCTACCGCAGCCTACCGGCGGTAGGCTACCGCCACTAGCACTAGTGCTAGTGCTGCACTACCTATCATCGCCGTTTAACCAGTAAGTCAATAGTCATATTTTTTCCTCAATTTCCCTACTTCGGCAATGGTTGAATTTCCGACTGATCGTATTTTCGTACATGTGTAATATTAACGGAATATTGGCATACTTGAACCTCAAGTATGCCACCGTTAATGTTACACATGCGGATTATTCTGCATGTGATTCGTATGCCGTGATGAGTTATTAATAGGAACTTCCCATCACGGTGATAATGTGCCTCTCGGATGGGGCATACGTGTCCTAATGTCGCACTAAATTTCCTTATCTTGCCAGTAGTGATAGCCACTCGCTCGTCGCTAGTGACAACTACTGTCGCTACTATTCGAATCCATTGATAGCAACCACTTGTAAATTATGAGTCGTCATCTCTACCATACCATCTACGTTTGGTTCGCGAGGGGAACTCGCGAATGCCACTAAAGATCAGCACTCACCATCGGTATCCTAAGCACTCTCTGTACTGAGTACTCTGAGTCAGCATTTAGCACTCCTGAACCACCACATGGAGACTGCAATGCAGTCACTGCATGATGCCTCGTATATCTTAAAAACCCTGAAATTTTTCTTCCTTACTGAGTGCCATAGCATCTTACTCGACATCAAAGCCACGTCTCGGACTACTAACTCCGCCACATGCACCACGTATACTAATACCTCCTATCCTGTACTTACTTCCCCCTCTTTCAGATGTCCATTCTCTCTGCCAAAGACGTTACCGCCCTGCAGCAGGTTCGCAATTTCGAGGTCATCGGGTTACACCAGGATCCGATAGTTGGCCACGGGAAGGCCTCTACTGGAGACAGTACTCGTAGGAAGCCTCCTTAAAGAAGGTCATCCATGCGTACTTGTTGCATGTGAAGGCGAGTACTGGTACTAGACTCCGTATCAACCGGTCGAGACCAGATGCTAGCAAGAGGTATCAAAGTGAGGCGTCGTATGATAGATACAGCTTATTCGCTGATCTTCATACCTCGGAAATTTGTGCGGTAATGTCGAGGACTTCCACAGCTTCGAATCAGTTGTTCTATATCCGTACTATACCTATAGGATCCAAAGTGATCCTATGCCGACCCTTCGGGGAAGGCACATTGGTGCTGGATCAAACAAGGTTGCTGCAGACGGCGGATAGAATTTTACCGCTGACTGCTGTAGATGTACCGCGTCCTCTCCGCAAGAGGTCCTCTACCTCGTACGGTTTCGGGATTTTTGTTGGCGCCACGGTGGAAATTCTGAGCTTCGGTCTCGTGACGTTTACGGTGACGTTTACCCCGGTTGCTTATGTGATGCTCTTTATGCTGGTCATCGGTGTCCGTGTATCGTCACCGACCTGGTAGTGCTTGGGTAGTGCAACTGCCAGTTGCCAACTGGTGATTGAAGTAGAAGTGGAGGCCGAGAATGAGGAAGGCGAGTTGAATCGTGTTTGGTTGGAAGATGAATTCACTATCACCAGCTCATCCCTGTCCAAACTCTTCGCGACTGACAATGTTCGGAAGGTTAGTTCGGTAATGTTGAGTTGTTTCACTCTTCTGCTCTCGGATCAGTCTGGAGTCTGATTTCGTCGAAGCCAGCTCAGTCTCCGACATCGTCGACTTCGCTGTGGCTAGAGTGAATCAAAACGGTGGACGGACCCTGGTTTTGTGGTCCAAAGCCTTGAAGACTCAAAACGATTCTGAAGGAGGCATCAAACCTCCAAAGAATCATTTGGTTCATCTATCTCCATCTGCCCTTCCTGAGGATATCAATTCCTAAAGAAATTTCAGGGCGAAGGTAGGGTTATTTGTGAGTTGACTTGAACTATTGGTGGAACCTTTAGGTACGATGGGCAGCCCGCGCAACAGGGAAATCAAGATGGTAATAATGGCGATGACCAGCAGAGGAACAACAATGTCAATGCCCAGCAGGGGGCTAACGATGGCGCAGAAGAAGTGGATTGACATTGACTGGGATGTTCTTAAAGTATCTGTTGAAGCTGTTGCTCATGATCACTTACCCTTGCACCTCTGGTGTTCCGAACTGAGATCACCTATGTTTGTTGTCCTCATTTCGTGTTATCCTTATTGATATCTTTAGCCGAGACCTACCACAAGCTGCGCTAGTCATTGTTCAGATCGGTAGTGTTACGGAAGTAAATTCAGCACAGTAACGTCGTGGAGCTCGAAGAGTGATGTGAGTGGATTACGATTCTCCTGAACATCGTTTTTAGCAGCCTCAAATGGGCCACATAACGGTCAGGGCTTCAAAGGCCTTGAGAATTCAACACATGCTTTGCTCCGCTTCGCGTCGTATCAGTGAATCCAGTGTTTTCCCGAATTCCAGTACCGCGCCGTCTTTCGCGTCGATTAGGCGGAACGCAATGCTCTTAGAGCACTGCTCTATCGTTTCTCACTCAAATATCGTATAGACTTGAACAGCGTCTCGTAGGAATCTACGTTGTGTTGGATGGGGACTCACGCGAGACGTCGCAGTTTGTGTGCTTCAATGAAAAGGGCCTTCCTTCGAGCGGAAGAGGTTTCAGAGATTTGCTGTGGGCTGGAACGTTTTGTAAACTCAGCCCATGCACCACGGCAGTTCCTCTCGGAAGGTGTCAGATTTAAGAAGTACCCCTGGGACTTCAAAGTTTTCGAGATCCCACGATGCGAAGGAGCGACTTTCTCTGGTGAATGGATCCACTTCACCCTGTGGAAGAAAGATCTCACAACGAGAGATGCTCTTGCGGACGTATCTAGGAAGACTGGTATCAGTATGAAAGAGTGGTGTGTTGCCGGTTGGAAGGACAGAAAGGCGATAACATCTCAAAGGGTATCAGTCAGAGCTGAATTGGAGGAAAAATTGAAGTCGTATGAGAATGGTAACTCGATACGGCTGTCCGATTTGAGCGTGGGAGAACAGTTGAAGGCTGGTCACCATGACGGCAATCGATTCCAAATAACTCTTCGAGATTTCCCTTTCACGTTGTCCTCGCCAGATTTCGACGCGGTTGAAGCCCTGCTGGATAGCATCAAAAACAATGGTGTTTTCAATTACGCTGGACTGCAGCGGTTCGGCGCCTTTGGCCAAGCTTTTCGTATCGGTCGTCATTTGATCGCTGAGAGAGCGGATCTCGCTGTGGGTGCGCTTCTTGATCCAGCCATGACCCCACTTAGCTCACCTAGTCGTTGTGTGCTCGAAGAATGGCATCGAACTCGAGATGCCAAATCGGCGATATCACTTTCATCAGGGAGGGTTAGAGAGTTGGAGTATGCGCTACTGAAGCGGCTGGCAGGTGACTGTCGCAATGATCTTAACCGAGCGTTAAGAACGACCATACCGAAGGAGCATCGGAGGTTCTATATGCACGCGTATGGCTGCTATCTGTGGAACCGAATGGTGAGCCAGTGCGGTACGGAAGTCGGTGACAAGTTGCCAATCCTTGGTGCCGGGATCGAACCTGCGTTCTTTGATTCACAAGGTGGGCGCATTCTCCAAGCACTACTGGTCGAAGACGGGTTGCTTACAGCCTCTCAAGATCTGAAAGGTTTCTGCGAAGACTTGGGCCCGAGATTGATGTTGATGGCTAAGATGAGGCCGGTGCTCATCACGCCAGAGGACTTTACTTGGCGGTGGGTGACACATCAACCTCGAGACAATCGTGACCTATGGCAGACAGTTGAAGAGGGTGATGGCTTGTCACTCCTCTTGGAGTTCGTTCTTCCAGCTGATTCCTTCGCAACATCAGTTGTAAGGGAGATCACTGGGGGATTAGATGCCTCGTCTGTACCGAAGAGTGTCCATGAATTAGATGTCTGTGTGCGGGGTACTTGAGTTTCGGACAACCTTGGTGGTGTTGTGTTACCGAGTTGGAGTGATGGTACATTGGAACAACAGGGATGGAGACCATTCAAGTCACTAACTGATGACTTGAATGATCTTCATCAAGTGTGCCACACGTGACACTCTGGCGCACTACGATGACGCCTGTCTAGAAGATGCGGCGAAGTAGAGAGAATTTCTAGCATACAGAAATTGTAACCGTACGGGTCACATCACAGCCCAACAACACAGAGCAGTTGGTGCTCAAATGATACAAAAATCTATCAGGGGTTACAGCGAAGAGTGACGGCATTGAAAGGTCCTGGGGAGAAGTTCGGCCCACCAACGCCGTCCTCACTCTCTTCCACAACAACGAGCACCTGCCATTCATCAGTGATGGCCATCGACCAGACATCCCATCCCATAAAGGGTGTGCTGTACGACAGTGTAGTTTGTCTTATGAGGTCCACGAGGCATACCGTGCAGGAGAGCTCATCAGCGAAGAGGCAGCAAACAGAAGCAAAAGCATCAGTATTGGGGACGAAGCGAGCCGCCGTAGCACCAGCAATGGTCGTGATGAGAACATCAGAGCTAACCGTGGTGAGACAGACTTCACCCACCGGCCGGTCTCCAATGAGATGATCAGGAATGTAAAGGAAGTAGTCTTCGTCCATAGTCGTAGTATCGAAGGAGAGAAGTGGCCCATCAAACTCCAGCTGGTAGAGCCAGGAGTAGCTCGGCGGCTGTAGTCGGTAAACACGATTAGTGTTGCTCAGAACGACGAAGACACCGCTTGGTAATGAACACAGCATAGCAAGGGAACCTGGTAGGTTCAGGGAAGAGAGTTCCGCACTGTCTCTAATTGACCATCTTCTGAGTTGCTTAATTTTGCCATCAGCATAGTAGACGACATCGTCGTGGACGCAGACATGGCTGACGTCTCGACCTACCCTGACGATGGTCTCCATCGCGAGAGTGTGAGGGTTCAATGACACCACCTCATGGTGTGACACCGCGAATGAGCGAAGGTCAATGCCAACGAACGAATGACCATCCGCGCAGGAGATATTAGTAAGAGTGCCGGAGATCGATGAGGTGCTCGTTAGAGATACAGTAGACGGTGGAGTGGGATGTATCCGAGACCAGATGGATCTGATGAGATCCTCGTGAGACTCGCCCAGTGACAACTGCAACGATCGGAGCTGTAATGTTAAACGATGTCGCCAGGATGCTGCGATAATGGATACCATCTGATGGTGATCGGCGGAGAATAAGCTGTTTGAATACCCGCTGTTGTGGAATAACTTAACTTGTTTCTTTTTCTGAATGAAAGTTCGATTTCTGTACACCGCCCGCGAACGAAAATTGAAATTCGTGAATAAAATTCATGACTTCGGAAACGTGGGTTCGAACTCGTCAAAACGCAGCCAATTCGAGTTTTCCCTCACCTGTACACGGTACAAGTATGAGGAACCTCTTAGGAAGCGGAGACTGGAAAATTCACCAGAAGTGAAATACCCAATTTTCACCGCGGTGAATATCGAATTGCTAGAGTATCGCTTCGTGTGGTTTGCTGTTGATCATCAGTGAACACTACGGCTCCTGATTCACCGATCTCAGCATTGAATCGATCTAATCTCCTGCCTGACCCAACCAGTAGTCATATCTTTATATCAAAAGATCGACCCATGCGTGTATAGGTGTAAGCAACAGGATCAACCTCTCCACACTAAGAGCAGTCGGTGTGATTCATCTGGTCTTTCATGGCATGAAAAAATCGATTCTTTCCTCGTCGTCTGCAGTAACTGTGGTAGAGTTCCTAACGACTCGTCCCCATAGTTGATATATCCGGGCACGTTTGCCTCAAAGAGTGATCGTTTCTTCTCCCCTGTACGTAGAGATAT